GTTCCATACTTTAGGCACTCTGGCACATAGTCCTCCTCAAGATCCTCTGAACGATTTGAATAAATATTGTCTGTGTACCACGATGGGTCGAGTTGTTTCGGTTTCGGTTTAGCCTGTTGCATTCGATCTCGTTTCGATTGACGGTAACTTTCAAAGCAAATATTTTTCATTTTCTCTAATTTTTGTTCTCTTATGCGCTCCCAGTTCTCCCAATTCTTGTCATTCTTACTTCTACCACTGGTGGCAGCATCAAAACCACCATAGTATTCACTACTACTCGGCTCCCCATAATCGCCATGATAATCGATATTTATATTCTTCATTTCATGTTCGGCAGGAGGAGCGCTCGGTTCGCGGCTCAAATTATTGTAGCCACTGCCACCATTCTCGGATACAACAATTCTTATTCTACGTTTCGTTTTATCTAAAAGTTTTGATGACAGCGAAGACTTCTGCGGCTTGTCACGTTCAGCTGGCGGCTCTTTTGGCTGTCACACCTCTTGCAGGTACTTGACGGGACAGTATCCCTGACGATTGTCTGCAGAGCGTACCATCACCATACCGTTGACCTCATCGCCAGTCTGGATTATAGAATAGGAAGAAGAAAAGAAACACAAGTGATTACAATTAGTAATGCTAGGAGATTCCATAACATTTCGAAAATAGTCGGTACCTGTATAACGATTTGATCTCTCAGTAGCGTCATGTTTTCTCCTCGCTCACCATCTGACACTTGCAAATTATGTGTAACTTGTAACGGTTTCTCATTGGCGTTCAGTCGTACACAATATTTGGATGGAAAGTAACCGACGCGGCCCAGCAGCTTACCTTGCCACCAATCTGGATCAGAGGTGTCGATGACGGTAACCTAGAGAATGACGAAAAGTGAGTCGTTAGAAGGAGTAGGATATGGTTGTGTGAGTATGAAATTATGCCAAAATTGGATACTGCATACAAATCTACAAATATTTTATATTTTTTATAACATGTTTTTTAATAATTCTATACATTTTTTGTCACATATATTTGGGAACCGATATCAAAATGTTTGGTTTGTTTTATAAATATTAAGCCTTAGCTAGAGAAATTAATATAAGGTTTATTTTTAATACAAAAAAGTGATAAATGGCCACTTAAACGCTAGGATGGGCAAAGCAGGAATATTTCATTAAACGGCCCGAAGGTGTAGACATCACTACCCGGAAATGTATCCGCACAGCCCTTTCTATATCTTTCGATCGAAGAAAATAAAATCAAGCTGAACACGTCATAAACTGAAGATATGCTTCGAGCGTTCTTGATGTGCGTTCCATCCGAAGAGCCAATGTATCCGTATGTATCGTTGCTGCAGAGAAATAATAGGTTAGGCTGGTTTAGAAGGACGTATGTGGAGTATTCCATACCTTAACTCATTTTTTCCATAAGTCATTAGTGGCAGCCTCGGTGTATTCATAAATTTTTCTAACGCGATCACTAAACAGTGGTAGTAAGGAGCTATTCGCTTCTTCTGTTGGCATCTCTGAGCCGCATCTGGCCATCGCATCAGCCGACTCATTTTCTTAACTATTGCTATGTCCGGTACGGTACGGTTCTGTGACGGCAGTGTGATGTAAGATTGTCAAATAATTTACGACCCCACCCACTATTTTAGATTCAAATATAGTGGCTTTGTCTTGTGGAGCCACTAAGTCAAACACTAGCCGCCCTCTCCATAACGTACAATCGTTCGGTATATGGAAAATACTGGACTAATTTGCAGGTTATTCGAGTGGAGACCGGCTCCGCTCAATCTTTGAGCTGTCAGTTTAGATGGACATCCCAACTCCTCTGCTACTAGGAGTCCTGCATCCCATTCTTCTCTGGGCAGAAACCTAATAGATACCTTCGTATTGAAGTTCCAAAGAGGCGTAATGTAATCAGTGCTGGCTTCTATGTCAACTTTGATTCCATTAAGCCGGCACCTTTTTATTTCACTCAGTATTGCTGCATACCTAAAATTGGTTGCCTTCCACGTATTGCCCTCTTGGAGCCTGAGAGCGATCTTTGCAGGTGCGCTACAGACTGCTCCCGATTTGCTGTTATTCCATTTGTCTAGATCTCTCCACCATAGTAACGACCGTGGCTAGCAACTGGTCTGATGATTTTTGTGCATATCCCATACGTGACGTACGGTGCTTTCCGAAGGTCGTTTTGCACGTGTAGTCTGATGCTAGAGATTTCTGGGCTCCCTCCTCTAAATTATGTTTCCAAGATGATTCCGAGAGGAGAAGTTCTAAGTAGTTTCCCATAATTTCGGCAGAAAAAATTTGGTACTTTTGTTTTCCATGAAACAATACCAACTCTGTCTTAGAGGTGTTAATCCTCCAATCAGATCTGGTTGGCCCACTAGGAGGTATGAGGGAAATAACAACGGTAATAATATTTTGGGACTTACTCGTTTTATAATTGTTTGGTCGAGCTTCTCGGCCAATTTTTGGTGTGTGTCTTAATGTTATTACACAAATTGAGGAACCTACAGTTTTACGCCGCCTCCGAACGGCAAATGTATTTTCATGACAGAAATACACTTGGAGGTTTTCTATTGCCTGCAGAGGGGTGACCGCATGTTAGAAAAAACTTTTCCTACTTTAGATCTTGCTCGGACCTGAGATCGAACCATGGACTGATAGTACGCAACTGTAACCACTCAAACACAGCGGCCACTAGAGAAATGCACATCATATATGGCCTTTCATATATATAGCCAATAACTAGTTACTGAGTGAAGATTTTATTGCAGAAAGAGAAGAAGAAATTTTTTTTTTCAAAAGATAGAAGACAGAGATAGAAAGACGTGAGCACAAAGAGCTTACTATTGGGAAAAAAGGAGTGTAGCCCTAAAATTGTATCAGAAAATTATGCAACTGACAAATGGTTTCAAGACCGGGTCTTGTTTTTGAATAGAAGGAAAAGAAAATTATGGAACAAATAATCAGAGCAAAGTGTAGATACCGAGCGGTTTAACGGCGACACCGGTGACGATTTTGAAGCCTAGTATAGCCAAGTACATAGGTGAGCCTGTACATATGTATATGCAAAAGAATTTGAGAAGTCTAGATTTTAGAAATTAGTAACAGTAGTATGACATTGCACCTTCTGACTTCCACCAGAAATTGTGCCGACTTTTGGTTTCGAGGAATTTCCCAATTAAAAATACGCTCATATGCTGTTCGAAATGTAGAGAAAAGTCGTAGCTAACGATAATAAAGTGTTTATCATATGCCAACACGTTCATCATATCGATTTTATAGATTGCGCTGTGGATCTGTCTCATTAGAACATCAACTAAACTACATTCAAGAAAAGTAGCATAAGAAAGAAGGCAAAAAGTTAACAGACCAGGCCTGTTTCTGCAGGTACAAAGTTGGAAATCTGGTTACAAAATTGACCATCGAATAAGTAAAGTCACAGCGTAAAAATTAGACTCTTCAAATGAAACGTGGTCTCGATATTGTTTCAGAGCAAACAAATTTTTCGAAAAAGACGCCCGCTATTATGCGACTTCTAAAATCTTAAGCTGGAATGCGTAAAAAGAGCCGCAAGTATAAGCCACAGCAGACCCAAACAAAGCTGCTTGCGTATGCCGATGATATCAATACCTTCAGCCTATATACGAATGCCGCCAGTGCAGCTTCTTCAAGTTAGAGAGGGAGGCAAGAGATGTTGGTCTAGCGGTGAACGAGGATTATACAACTTATCGCCTGACAACACTGTCAGTGTTTTCTCATGTCGGAAAATACGTCACTGTTCGCAGTGGTAAAGCACTTTGTCAACCTTAGTTCCAGCATACAGGTGGAGATCAAGGAAAGAGTAAAGCAGGTGGCAGGTGCTAATTTGGGCTCGGGAGGCAATTCAAAATCAAAGCCCTTTATCGACGACCCAACGCCCGGCTGAAGGAGGGTGAGAAGGCTTTGGGATCTTTCGAGAGAAACACCCTACGCTGGATCTAAGGTCCTGTTTGCGTAGAGGACGGGTACCAAATAGAATGAAATGACGAATTGTACAAGCTTTACAATAGCAAGGACACACTGAAGCGCATTCAATATTCGCAATGGCTTGTATTTACATATATGTCGTACGTATAAATAATGATGATCTAGTGAAAATATTCTTCGACTTGGCACACAAGAAGGCACAACCAAAGCAAGTGCGCGCTTAAATAAAATGGAAGAATCAAATGCAAAAAGACCTTGGTGTAAAGAACTGGCGTAGCTTGACAAAGGTGATTGGCAAAGTTTTTTTAAACTAGCCACAAACCGACAAACGGTTGTGATGCCTATAAGGAGAAGACGAAAAAGTACAATCTCTTAACAAGAGCCACAAAACCTCAAAATAATTGCGAGTTGAAATGAAAAACCGATTTAAATATGAGCATATTGTACAAACGCCTATACATTTTAGCTGTCCCCTTTGTGCATCATTTTTATTTGCTAGTCGGCGTTCAAAGATATTCAACCTTTCAATTA